CGTAAGATTTGTTAAATAAAAGGGAACTCTTTAGCTACAATGTATCAATGTTATGTTATAAAACAAATGGTAAACACCACAGCGTACACTATTGAGTTATGGATGCACTTGGGAGGTTTGCTAAGCACTCAAGAAGCTAGAGTCGCTCTCGGCTATCGCCTCGAGCGACTCTTACCCTTCTTTCGTGCTTAGCAACCTCCCGCGTGCATCCATAACTCAATAGTGTACGCTGTAGTGTTGACCATTTGTTAATTATTCAGGCAATGTGGATATTTCTGTAATAAGAAGTCCACTGAGGCAGGCGTGGGTGTACCAGACAATAATTGTTCAAGGAATCTTACAAGGCAACAGGACCTATGATTCAATCACACAAAACTTCTCAAACGTTTGGTGTGCTACAACCTCTGCAAGGCCCTAGAACACTGAACAGTATCATCAACCATAATATTGGTCCTGAACTCCCTGTCAGCATTACTCCTGGAGCAATTCCGGCTTCTGTTTTCATTTGAGTTCCAACACCATTGTGCTATATTCCAACTTTCCCAGGAATTTTTCTTTTTGATAGCACATCCACGAGGGTCCACAATAGGGGTTCTCAAATCCCGCTTTCCCGCCTTTTTTTCTTCTCAATCCCGCCATCCCGCCCCTTTTTACGCCCGGATCCCGATCCCGCCCCATTTTTTTAGAGATTTTGACATATTTTGCTTGATCATTGAAATAGGCGTTATGATTTACCTTCTATCAATTGTCAGTTTTGATGGTCCAGGTTCTCAACATCACAATTAGCGACCATAACTTTATTTTCCTTAATTATTTTTTGGTCCTCTTATCGGTACATGTTTGCCTCGATACTTTAAGTCGATCCAGTATTTTTGGAATTAGACAGATTGATGTTATCTGTCTGTCTTACGAAGACTCGACTGCTTTGCTGCTAGTTTCCATCAGGCGATGAAGCCAATTCTGTCAATTGTTTAAATTTAGTTTAGGACCTGGAAATTGTATATAAACACACTGGTCTCTTTTAAGAAAACATAAACCTGCTATTAAATCTAACAGCACGACCAAATGCGGACAAGAGCCCTTCCAAGCAGGAAGTTTGCTTCACCATCCAAAGTGGCGGCGACTCTTAC